TCGCCTCGACCCGCGCCCGCCGGGCATCTCCGTCCTGCGCGACGGCAGGCACATATCGGCCCCCGCCGCCATGCACCCGGATCTGAGACACAACTTTGTCCTCACCCCGGAGGCCCCCGTCCAGTACTCGTCCGCCAGGAGCCGCGAGCCCCGTCCGCGCAAACCCGCCCCTAGGAATGACCCCGCCCCCAGGAGGAGGAGGAGGAGGAGGAAGAGGAGGCAGCACCCCCCGCCGAAGGACCACCGCGAGCAGAACCACCCCGCAAACCAACCCCCCCGCAGAGACCTCCACCATGCCCAACTCCCGCAACTCCACCACGACGACGTCTTTGCAAGGGATAAGGAACTCTCCGTCAGCTTTGCTAATCGACGCTATACCGCAGAGGACGCCGCCGCAAAGCCGCTCAATGCTATCCAGCGCCTGCTGCACGCACTCGCTTTCGCAAAGATGTCCGCCCCCGCCTGGCGACGGAGGGCCTGAGTCCTGTCCGCCTTTTTGTCTCTAGTCTTTACAACCTTTTATGCCACTTGCTGCCCAGCATATTATCCTCTATGCGCTTCTTGCAACATGTGCGCCCCCCCGCGTGCGCCCTGTGCTGTGCGCCCACAACCTGCTCTCCCCGCCCATTCCCCACCCACATCCCTCGCGCCTCTTGCACGCCCGAGCCCCCGAGCGCAGATCTATCTCGCGCGCCCCCCTGTGAATAATTTTAACTCTCGCTTGTAAACAAGTGTATATCTACACACGTCTTTGTCAAACCTCGCAAGAGGTTCCGTGCCGTGCCGAGCCATGCCGTGCCGTACCGTACTTGTACCGTATCCCATCGTGGAAACGAAGGAACAACCAGCCCCACCTCGCGTGAAACAGGAAGAGAACCCGCACCCGTTGCCCACCGCCCTCCCACATCACCCCCCTCCCCGCTTCCATTCCCAGCCCAACCCAAATCTCCCTTCCGCATCACCCTCCTCTCCCCTCTCAAGACCTGCACGTGCACCCGCGCAGCGCGCGGAGCATTTCCCCGCCAAAAAAAAAACCCCGCCCACCGCCGCCTGCAACCCCGCGACGTCTCTCTCCCCTACTACGCGCGCCGCACCACGTCGCCGCCCCCGCCCCTTCGCCGCCCTGACGTGTGCCGCGCCGCGGGGAGCGCGCCCCAGCGAGCGCGGCCCCGCGTTCACGCAAGCACCCCCCCCCCCCCCCCTCACATCCGCGAC